GGGTCCTACACTAAAAACTTTAGATTGGGAGAACACAATTATATGTGTAAAAGATGACAAGAGAGAATTCCCTTTATAAGAGGGCAGAGAGCAATCCATTGTTAAAACTAGCATCAACTTGATCCCTTTGAGAAAAGACTCTAGAGTAACAGACCAATCAAAATCCTGGCTCTAAGTTCCTATTTTATTAATAGAATGACATGAGCTGGTACCGGGGAGAAAATAATTAACTCTACTTGGAGACAGACCAGATTGGCAGCCTGGCTGGCTCCTGTTAAATGACAAGACGGGTCTGGTAGCTTCATTCTTCTGGATTATAGATTGAACATGCTGTCGTACTGTACAGTTTGGCAAAATCTAGCATGTTCTGTAAGCATGAGGAATATTGCTCTATATCTGAGTTTTGAATTTGGATAAAATTTCTGTTTAATGTATTTTAGGATCTCCTAGAAAAGAAGGGAGAATGGGTTTGTTCAGTTTTTAAAATGAACAGGGATTTGTGACCCTGTTCGTTTTAAAAAATATTATAGGAGCTTTATCCTAATACGGTTGAAAGTCTTCCTTTCATGTTTAGGTGCCACAAAATATGCATTTTAATGGTTATGGAACATCTTACTCTCCACCTATTTTCGGAATTTCATTTAGCAAAATAGTAACTGGCAGTTCTAATGCAAAAGAGATACAATAGAGTGTTCATGTACACAATACTTGCCATTAAAGAGGTGGCAATAGACTGATGATACCATGTCATCAAAATGGCAATGGAAACAGACTTACTCCACATCAGGAATCTGTACGTGTAAAAAAATCTGCTTTTATTTAAATTTTTATCTCTGTGCACTATACTACCGTCGTATTTTCATTCTGTCACTGTGATAGCGGACAGTTTCAGTGTGTCATGGCTCCTTATTCAGTGATGAGAGATTGCTAGTTAAAAGGAAAGGAACTACAGTTGTGGAATCTTTATGAAGCAAAGGAGATTTATGCATGGAAGTTACATTTCCATACAGTGATTCTGTTCCTGGCTTAGAATCTATATAAGGAACAGGGTGTGATACCTTTGCATTGTCTAGCTCAGTGGTTCTCAACCTGTGGGTCCCCAGATGTTTTGGCCTTCAACTCCCAGAAATTGTAATAGCTGGTAAACTGGCTGGGATTTCTGGGAGTTGTAGGACAAAACACCTGGGGACCCACAGGACTAGAACCACTGGTGAATGCCCAGACCTAACCAACTGGAGACATGTTTGTGGTTCTTGATGCTGGGTCAGAAGCCAGATGTGCTGTGTAAAACACATAGATGGTGCAGATGTGTATCCAGATGTGCATTCAATATACAAGATCTTCACCAATATGGTGTGGGTGGAACATCCCCCCCACCCTCGCTATCATAACATATTTTAAATTCATACTGCTCATGGCTTAATCAGAGTGATAAATATGTGTTAGCTTCCCATCTGTTGTGTAAAGCCGTTGGGTCTGTCTTCCAAGTTGTTTTGTTTATTTTTATTTATTTAGACTGCTCCAACCTCACTCTACATAGGAAAAGCCATACAGAACAGTTAGCAGTAACTTTAAAACCACAGAAATAATAAATGCAATGAAGCATTTCCAACCATAAAATGTAGAAAAAGCTGAACAAATAAAATAATTTAAACATGATTGAACTCAAGATATAGGGGGGGTTTTGTGTTAGGAGTGACTTGAGAAACTGTAGTCACTTCTGGTGTGAGAATTGGTTGTTTGCAAGGGCATTGCCTAGGGGACTCCCGGATGTTTGATGTTTTACCATCCTTGTGGGAGGCTCCTCGCATGTCCCCACATGGGGAGCTGGAGCTGACAGAGGGAGCTCAACCCGCTTTCTCCAGATTCAAACCGCTGACCTGTTGGTCAGTGGTCCTGCTGGCATAAGGGCTTAACCCATTGTGCCACCAGGGGCTCCAGGATATAGATATATATCAGTTAATAAAATATGATAGGTATCTCCCTAGCCATTACATTTTTAAAAAAAAATTAGTACCAGAAGCAGGAAGAATAGAGATAGGTTCCTTCCATCTCTATTTTGAATGCTTCTAATCTAGCATCATTGTTTCAGCAAACCTTTTTTTTTTCAACACTGTTAATACGTTACGTACATATGGGAAATGAAACAACCAGGTTAGGTAAGCCATTCATAAGTAAACAAAATATTTTGGACCTTTTGGAAACTACCTGAAGATTTCTTCCAAAGGACATAAAAAGTTGATATAGTATTTTTCCCATTTTTGTTAGTAATTTCCATTTTGGTTGCCAAATATATTGGAGTAACTGGTGAGGCAGGTCTTCTTTCACTTCCTCTCTGATTTGCTGTTCATGCATGCTCAGTAAGGAATTCTGTAAGCAAGCTTCCTTTTACCTTGCAGGCACGCACAGTGTGATCAGCTAGAGAAAAATCCCATTATTTCCCAGCTCAAAGTTTGTTTTCATTCATTGCAGACACTGCTGCAGTGCAACATGGAAAGTGTCTGCTTCTCCAACTCTTCTCCATGATTCTCACAATGCTTAAAAAACCTTCCAGATAAGTAGAGGATGAGGAAGAAAATGAGAACTGAGCAAGCCTAAAAATACTTTGTCAAAGATTTATCCCACATCAATTGATAGTCATATGGCAATCACATTGTTTAAGCAAATGGAAACATGCCGTTATTGGAACGATCACTTTCCAACTTTACTGCAATTGTGCTATGCCAGGCATCCTCAAACTGTGGCCCTCCAGCCGTTTGGGCCTCCAACTCCCAGAAGCCCTAATGAAATCGTTCAGTTGTCAGGAATTCTTGGAGTTGAAGGCCCAAACAGCTGGAGAGCCGCAGTTTGAGGATGCCTGTGCTATGCTGTTGCTTTGGTGATGGAAATACCCATGATTAGTCAGCACATGGGCACTGTGGTTTTTTCTCTATTTTACTGCAAATCTAGACATGCAGTTTCAGTGTTCTTGCGAGACCTTCTTTCCTCTGCAATATTGAGATGACAATAAAAGAAATAGTGGTGGAACGACAGCAATACTGGACTGAAGATTTTTTTTCCCCTGTCAATGAAAAGAGATGATCCAATCATGAGTCAATTGCTCTGCAAGTATGGGGTTGACACAGCATCATACAATAAGCCCCTAGAAGTCAAGATGACTAAATTCTCTGATCGTATCATGGGAAGAAATGATTGACTAGAAAAGATGATAATGCTTAGTAAAGTGGAGAGCAGGAAGAAAAGAGGAAGACAACATTCCTGATGGATAGACTCAACCAGGGAAGCCAAAGCCTGGAGTCTACAAGACCTGAGAAGGGCTGTTGATGACAGGGTGACTTGGAGGTCTCTCGTTCATAGAGTCACAATAGTTTGAAGCCGACACGAATGTAGTTAATGATATTAAAAAACAGTTGGAAGGGAAAATGTTGGTTTGTAAACTTCTTTAGCAGGAGTTGTTTGTTCATTTTGTATTTTAATGTTGCAATGTATCATGCGTACATAAATAATATTGAGGGTGCGGAATCAGCTGGAAACTGAGAAAAATAATAGTGTGGGTCAATTCTGGTAAAGAAGAAGGTCATAATGTGAAATATGCAAAATTCTTTCCATTGGATCATATTGGTTCTGGAAGTCATACGGCTATATTACAATGGGGCTACATTCCTGTATCATGGCTCGGGTTCTTGATACTTAAGGGAGGACATTTCCTTATATGTGCTTGCTCGAAGATTGTGGTCTGCTGGAGTCTTCTTTTGTGTCCCAATACTTACTTACTTACTTATTTACTTAGGCGATCCCTTGTAGTTCGAGGATTATGGTTCTCCAAATTTGGTCTTCTGGCGGTGGGTCCGTAGGTGACTGTGGAGCCCTATTCTTGATCTGCATCTTCTCCCACAGTGAGGGCATTGGTTTCCAGGTGGAAGGCGGTCCCAGTCAGGATTGGCTTGACACGCCTTCCTCTTGGCACATTTCTCTCTTTTGCCCTCCATTCGTGCCTCTTCAAATTCTGCAGCACTGCTGGTCACAGCTGACCTCCAACCGGAGTGCTCAATGGCCAGGGCTTCCCAATTCTCAGTGTCTATACCAGAGTTTTTAAGGTTGGCTTTGAGCCCATCTTCAAATCTGTTTTCCTATCCTCCAACATTTCATTTTCCATTTTTGAGTTTGGAATAGAGCAACTGCTTTGGGAGATGGTGGTCGGGCATCTGGACAACATGGCCAGTCCAGCGGAGTTGATGGCGGAGGACCATCACTTCAATGCTGGTGGTCTTTGCTTCTTCCAGCACACTGACATTTGTCCACTTGTCTTCCCAAGAGATTTGCAGGATTTTTTGGAGGCAGCACTGATGGAATCATTCCAGGAGTTGCATGTGACATCTGTAGACTGTCCACATCTCGCAGGCATAGAGCAGGGTTGGGAGGACAATAGCTTTATAAACAAGCACCTTAGTATCCCTACGGATGTCCTGGTCCTCAAACACTCTGCTTCATTTGGAAAAATGCTGCACTCGCAGAGCTCAGGCTGTGTTTTGTTGCTGCCACAAACTATGTTGAATTGATTGAGACTGAATGAGATATTCATTGAAAATATATAATAAAAATGTGCTGTAGGATGTCCTGCAAAAAAAAAAAAAGTTTTTGCCGTTTAGGAAACTTTCCCCATGTTTTATGATAGAACCAATTAGGAAATGGCATTTATAAGCCAGGTTACAAAGTGCTGCCTGCAGGCATGGGCAAGCTTTGGCCCTCCGGGTGTTTTGGACTTCAACTCCCACCATTCCTAACAGCCTCGGTCCCTTTCCTTTTGGAAAAGGAAAGGGCCTGAGGCTGTTAGGAATGGTGGGAGTTGGTCCAAAACACCTGGACAGCTCAAGTTTGCCCATGCCTGGCTTCTAGGCATGTGTGCCTGGTGGCCCGCCCCTTCGAACCGTGGGCGTGACCACATCCCGTAGGCCCCGCCCCCTCCTCAGCTCCGGGCCCCCATGTGCTCTGTCCACCACGTGACCCGCCCGCGCTCTCCCTGCCGAGTTTGACAGGAGGTCCGACGGGGCTTTTTTCCGCGCCGCCCCGCCGAGCAAGGAGCCTTCTCTCCCTCTTCCTCCTCCGCTGCTCTCGAAGCCCAGAAGCCCCCCTGCGGACATGTCGGAGCCCAGCTCCCGAGGAGGCGGAGGAGGAGGGGACAAGGACCCCCGGGCCGCCGTGGTAGGGTCCCTTCCCTTGTCCCCCTTGTTCTCCCCTCTCTGCTTTGGGTCTGAGCTGACCCCCGCCCTTGTCTCTCTCTCTTTTTTTTTCTCTCTCTCTCTCCTGGGCCAGGCTGAGCTGCTTTCGGGGCTGCGCTGGGGCCGCCTGGAGGAGCCCCTGGGGTTCATTAAGGTGCTGGAGTGGGTAAGTTGGAAGCCTTTTCGGGCTCTTTTGGGGGAAAGAAGCGCGATGGATGGGGGGGGGGGGGGAGGACGTTTGGGGCCAGTAATGCCCCAGAGGAGGAGGGGGGGAGGGAGGGAGGGAGGAGGTCCGGCATGCTTGGCCCTGGAGGGAGGAGGAGGAGGAGGAGGAGTGCCCTCTAAGGCAGCCCTTCTATGTGCAAGGAGCCCGGAGTGCTGGGCGGCGGGCATGTGCGTTTCACGTTTCACTCGGACGGGTTTAACCTTTCGGAGCTCTGATCCGGCACATACCGCGCCTGGACGGGTCCCTCGGCTCTTCCCAAGGCGGGTCAGAAACCCGGGGCTGAAGGAGCGCGGCTTTGGCAGAGGGATCCAGCTCTCTTCTCCCAAGGAAGAGTCGGCCAGATTTCTGCCTGTCGTCTTGGAAAAGTTCCTCTCCCTCCCTGCCCCCCCCCCCCAAATGACCGGAGGCTCTTTCCCACAGCTGTATATATGGCAGTGTGGACTCAGATAACCCAGTTCAAAGCAGATGTTCTGGGATTTTCTGCCTTGATATTCTGGATTATATGTCTGTGTGGAAGGACCCAAAGGCTGGGTCTACACTGCCCTCTATTCCAGGCTCTGATCCCAGATTATCTGGCAGTGTAGACTCATGTAGCTCCAGCCTCTGCAGTGGTTCTCAACCTTTGGGTCCCCAGATGTTTTGGCCTTCAACTCCCAGAAACACTAACAGCTGGTAAACTGGCTGGGATTTCTGGGCGCTGTAGGCCAAAACACCTGGGGACCCACAGGTTGAGAACCACTGTAGACTTTAGGAGCTATAGGGTGCATCTACTGGCCCTTACACACAGCCACAATCTCTACTTTGAACTCACTTCAGGTAACCCAGTTCAAAGCAGATATTTTGGAACTTTCTGCCTTGATAGTCCAGGTTATATGGCTGTGTGGAAGGGCCCTGGGCTATCATATACAGGCAGTCCCCAAGTTATAAACATTCGACTTACAAATGACTCATAGTTAAGGACAGGGCTGAGACAACAAGAAGTCAGTGAAATCTACCCCAGGGAAGGGAAATCCACTCCTGGAAAAGTTGTCCTAGGGAAAAGGTGTCGTTTAAAGTTGCATTAATTCACTTTCTCAGCTCGGTGTAATACATCTATGCTGTGGTTCAATGCTGTGGAATTCTAGGAGTTGTAGTTTTGCAAGGTCTTTTAACCTTCATTGTCTAAGAGTGCTGGTATTTCACTAAGGCCCCTTCTACACAGCCATATAAAGTCCAGATTGTCTGCTTTTAACTGGATTATATGGCAGTATAGACTAATATAATCCAGTTCAAAGCAGATAATGTGGATTATCTGTTTGATAATCTGGATTATATGGCAGGGGTCTAAATTACAACACCCAGGATCAATAGCATTGATCTGTGACAGTGTAGATAAACCACTGGTATCTCAAGAAGGGGACATGAATTAGTTTTATTGGGGCCAGGGTGCATCTACACTGTAGAACAGGGGTCCTCAAACTTTTTAAACAGAGGGCCAGGTCACAGTCCCTCAAACTGTTGGAGGGCCAGATTATAATGATTTTTTTTTAAAAAAAGAATTTATTCCTATGCACACTGCACATATATTTTTTGTAGTGCAACCCCCCTTAAAACAATACAATAATTAAAATGAAGAACAATTTTAACAAATATAAACTTATTTGCATTTCAATGGGGAGTGTGAACCTGCTTTTGACTGATGAGATAGGGTTGTTGTTGTTGTTGTTTGCTTTCAAGTAGTTTCAGAGCGAGGGCTGGGTAAATGACCCAGGCCTTAATTTGAGGACCCCTGCTGTAGAATGAATACAGTTTGACACCACTTTAACTGCCATGGTTGTGGAATCCTGAAATTTGTAGTTTGCTGAGATGCCAGCACTCTTTGGCAGAGAAGGTGAGGGACCTTGTAAAACCGAAACTCCCAAAATTCATGAGCTATGGCAGTCAAAGTGGTATCAAACTGCAATAATTCCACAATGTAGATGCCCTCCTGGATGTTCCTGAAGATTCTTAGAAGGCAGCAAACCACTGTCCACTCAGCACACTAGGATCTATTTTAAAGATATTAATCATACAGTATTCTGGTGACGCATTGTACAGCAGTCATTTATTTTGTCTCTAGCTGATGTTGGCACAAAGTGACACCTCTTTAGTAAGGAAGATGTTTTGCCAAAATCAGAGGGCATCCCTCAAGGCGCATGCAGCTGGTGACTTGGGTTGTGCAGCTTGTGCAAAGTAGTCACAGTACTTCCTAAAACTTTGAAAAGAGTCCGGATGTGATTGAAGACAAACAGGAGAACAGGGCAGAGCTGACTTCCACTTCTTGTAACTGTGCAGCAGTCGTTGCTGGCTTCCGTATGAGAAGCCACAAGCACTCCGTAGCAGAAGATAATAATGCAAGGGGAACCCTAGAGCACTGTTAGGGATATATTTCTGCATGTTTCATCGCTTTAAGGCAGTGCTCTGTATAGATGCATGAAAACCCAGTTAGGTCATTGGAGCTTTGTAACTGGATATGGAAACCTGCAACATCAAAGACTCATGACAGTTTAATACAATTAGTGTAAATGCATCATTGAAGTATGTTTGATTTTTTTGGAGTGTAATGTTATTCTCTACATAGCAATTTATTTTTCTTGCCTCAAATCTTATGCATTTGCTTCTTTCCCTACCTATAAATAACACTACTATGTTATGTTCTGTTATCTTGCTTTTGGCTTTCTCCAGGTTTTTATACTTGTGTTGTTGTTGTTGTTGTTGTTGTTGTTGTTGTTGTTGTTGTTGTTGTGTGTCTTCAGGCTGACATTTACTTACACTGACCCTCTAAATAAATCTTGCCCTTTCTTGGAAGTGTGCCATTATCTTTCTTTAAGTCTGAGAGAGTGTAACTTGTCCAAGGTCACCCAGTAGTCTCAGTAATATTGAATCACAGGAGTTGTAGTTTTCTAAGGTCTTCATCCTTCTCTGCCAAATAACGTTGCATCCTCCCCTAAGTAAAAATCCCAGAATTTCATAGCATTGGGCCATGGCAACTAAAGTAGTGTGAAACTACATTCATTCTACCATGTAGATGCAGCCTTAGTACAAATGAAGGGACATATATTTCCCAGCTCTGTCCTGTACCATGTTAGGTTTTCCTGTTTGAATGTTTCCTTTTTGTGAGTTTGAGGAAATGGTTTTCATTGTGCATGGCATGTCCAAGCTATCTGTAATAGTGATGGTGCTGTGCTAGTGGTATGTTGTTCTAACACATATTTTTTCCTTGCTGCATAAAAGATTTTCTCTCCTTTGTTGTTGTTCATTCGTTCAGTCGTCTCCGACTCTTCGTGACCTCATGGACCAGCCCACGCCAGAGCTCCCTGTCGGCCGTTACCACCCCCAGCTCCCTCAAGGTCAGTCCAGTCACTTCAAGGATGCCATCCATCCATCTTGCCCTTGGTCGGCCCCTCTTCCTTTTGCCTTCCACTTTCCCCAGCATACTTGTCTTCTCTAGGCTTTCCTGTCTCCTCATGATGTGGCCAAAGTACTTCAACTTTGTCTCTAGTATCTTTCCCTCCAGTGAGCAGTCGGGCTTTATTTCCTGGAGGATGGACTGGTTGGATCTTCTCAGTCCAAGGCACTCTCAGCACTTTCCTCCAACACCACAGTTCAAAAGCATCGATCTTCCTTCGCTCAGCCTTCCCTAAGGTCCAGCTCTCACATCCGTAGGTTACTACAGGGAATACCATGGCTTTGACTATGCGGATCTTTGTTGCCAGTCTGATGTCTCTACTCTTTACTATTTTATCGAGACTGGACATTGCTCTCCTCCCAAGAAGTAAGCGTCTTCTGATTTCCTGGCCAGTCTGCATCTGCAGTAATCGTTGCACCTAGAAATACAAAGTCTGTCACGGCCTCCACGGTTTCTCCCTCTATTTTCCAGTTGTCAATCATTCTTGTTGCCATAATCTTGGTTTTTTTGACGTTTAGCTGCAACCCGGCTTTTGCGCTTTCTTCTTTCACCTTGATTAGAAGGCTCCTCATCTCCTCCTCGCTTTCGGCCATCAGAGTGGTGTCATCTGCATATCTGAGGTTGTTAATGTTTCTTCCAGCAATTTTCACCCCAGCTTTGCATTCATCCAGCCCCGCACATCGCATGATGTGTTCTGCATACAAGTTGAAAAGGTTGGGTGAGAGTATGCAGCCTTGCCGTACGCCTTTCCCAATCTTGAACCAGTCTGTTGTTCCATGGTCAGTTCTTACTGTTGCTCCTTGGTCCTTGTACAGATTCCTCAGGAGAGAGACAAGGTGCTTGGGATGCCCATCCCACTAAGAACTTGCCACAATTTATTATGATCCACACAGTCAAAGGCTTTAGAATAGTCAATGAAGCAGAAGTAGATGTTTTTCTGAAACTCCCTGCCTTTCTCCATTATCCAGCGGATATTGGCAATTTGGTCTCTCGTTCCTCTACCTTTTCTAAACCCAGCTTGAACATCTGGCAACTCTTGCTCCATGTATTGCTGGAGTCTTCCTTGCAGGATCTTGAGCATTACCTTACTGGCATGAGAAATAAGGGCCACTGTACGGAAGTTTGAGCAGTCTTTCGCATTTCCCTTTTTTGGTATGGGGATATAAGTTGATTTTTTCCAGTCTGATGGCCATTCTTGTGTTTTCCATATTTGCTGGCAAATGGCATTCATCACCTTGACAGCATCATCTTTTAAGATTTTAAACAGTTCAGCTGGGATCCCGTCGTCTCCTGCTGCCTTGTTGTTAGCAATGCTTCTTAAGGCCCATTCAACCTCACTCCTCAGGATGTCTGGTTCTAATTCTCTCACCACACCGTCAAAACTATCCTCAATATTATTATCCTTCCTATAAAGATCTTCTGTATAGTTTTGCCACCTTCTCTTGATCTCTTCAGCTTCTGTTAGGTCCCTGCCATCTTTGTTTCTTATCATACCATTTTGCCTGAAATTTACCTCCAATGTTTCTAATTTTCTGGAAGAGGTCTCTTGTCCTTCCTATTCTGTTGTCTTCTTCAACTTCCATGCATTGCTTATTTAAAATAGTTCCTTATCTCTTCTGGCTAACCTCTGGAATTGCGCATTTAACTGGGCATATCTCCCCTTATCCCTGTTTCCTTTTGCTTTCCTCCTTTCTTGGGCTACTTCCAGTGTCTCAGCAGACAACCATTTTGCCTTCTTGGTTTTCTTTTTCTTTGGGACGTACTTTGTTGCCGCCTCCTGAACAATGTCGCGGACTTCTGTCCATAGTTCTTCTGGGACTCTGTTTACTAAATCTAGTCCTTCAAATCTGTTCTTCACTTCCACTGTATATCCGCTAGGAATGTTAGTGAGATCATATCTAACTGGTCTGTGTATTTTCCCTGATCTCTTTAGTTTTATTCTAAATTGGGCAATAAGAAGTTCGTGATCTGAGCTACAGTCAGCCCCAGGTCTTGTTTTCACCGACTGGATGGATGTCCGCCACCTTTGGCTGCAAAGGATGTAGTCAATCTGATTTCGGTGTTGACCGTCTGGTGAGGTCCATGTGTAAAGCCGTCTTTTAGGTTGTTGGAAGAGAGTATTCGTTATACACAGCGAGTTTTCCTGGCAAAATTCTATCAGCCTGCGTCCCGCTTCATTTTGTTCTCCCAGACCATGCTTGCCTGTGATCCCAGTTGTCATTTGACTCTCTCCTAGAATCATAGAATAGTAGAGTTGGAAGAGACCTCTTGGGCCATCCAGTCCATCCCCTGCCAAGAAGCAGGAAAATTGCATTCAAATCACCCCTGACAGATGGCCATCCAGCCTATATTTAAAAGCTTCCAAAGAAGGAGCCTCCACCACACTCTGGGGCAGAGGGTTCCACTGCTGAACAGCACTCACAGTCAGGAAGTTCTTCCTAATGTTCAGATGGAATCTCCTTTCTTGTAGTTTGAAGCCATTGTTCCGCGTCCTAGTCTCCAAGGAAGCAGAAAACAAGCTTGCTTCCTCCTTCCTATGATTTCCTCTCACATACTTATACATGGCTATCATCTCTTCTCTCAGCCTTCTCTTCTTCAGGCTAAACATGCCCAGCTCTTTAAGCCGCTCCTCATAGGGCTTGTTCTCCAAACCCATGATCATTATAGTCTCCCTCCTCTGAACACATTCCAGGTTGTCAACATCTCCCTTCAATTGTGGTGCCCAGAATTGAAGGGAGATGTTGACAAGCTGGAGGAGGGCGACTAAAATGATTTGGGACTTTATAAACTTAGATCAAGAGTCGGAATCTCTGTGTTCTGGCCTTTCTTTCGGATTCCCCTTTACTTTCACTTTTCTTCTACAGGCATGGCCCTAAACATACATTGTTCTGTTGCATATCCTCACTTTTTGGAAGCTGTTAGTAATACTGTACTTTCAGTTAAATCCTGTAACCTCCCCTTCTTCTCAGAAACTGAGAGCAATGGTGATATCACTGACTACTAAATGAACACAGCTAGTGTGAAATGTTGGCAGAATAATATGTTCCATGTGGGAGAATCGAGGTGCAATGACTGGAAACATTTTAGGAAGAAGCTAGTGACTTGTTTTCTGTTTCTTATGGAAATGTACATGGCAAGTTGAAAGGTTAGTTACTTGTCAACATCTCTGGTCATGCATCATTAAATCGTGGCTTTTGCCTTCTCTATGATTCCTAAAAGCCAAGTTATGATCCTGAAAAAAAACCCTTTCTTTTGTGAACTATTTGCATTTATTAGAACCTTGTTTGGACTTCCATTTTCATTTATTTTTAATCCTATTTTTACCTGTTATGATCTGAAGAAGCCATGGCTTCTAGCTCATTTGTAGACAATATATAAATATACCATATATACTCTATATACTCATGTATAAGTCTTGTTGTCCACTGTTGCCACATAAGTATTGCAATACAACAGACGTAGATCAAAATGCTTGATTTGGGGCCGGCTCCTCCTACTTTTGCTTTGTTATATATACTGTAATAGTGAATCAGTTTAGGACACCTGTTTTTCATCCTTCTGGTACCTGTGTTGGTATATGTACAAATCTGAGTTGGGCCAAATGGGGATACTGATCTCTTTTTGTCTGGGATATCCCAATTCCCTCTCTTATTTGTTTGTTGTTGTTTTTAAAAAGATATCTGTTGATCCCATCATGGTGCCAAGGATAATTGTCTTGGTAAAGCTTGTAGGAAACTTGTGGTGTTTGATGCCTGTTTTGATATATATTATTTGAAGTGGAACAGTTTCATGTTCTTCCATTTTTCATCAACTGTTTGATTTATTAACATATTCCTGTGTTTTGACTCAGATAACCCAAGCAATGTTTATAGAGCAGCAATGAAACATATTATTTGATTCATTTGGGTTTTGTTGGGTCTTTCTGGTTATGAGCGCATTCGCAGTAGTTGGCTGGAATGGTGTTCTAAAGCTGATTGACCCTAAGTTAGGGAACTGACTGAGTTTCAGGTGTTTGTGATATAGTGGCTTTTACCATTTGATTGGCTCTATTTACTTTTGAGGGGATAGGATCCAAGATCCCTTTTTGTACTGTCTCCTCCTTCAGTTTTCTGAATCAAAGTACTTAATAAACTCCTGACAAGCATGTACTTTCACCTAGGAATCAATATTTAAGACTCTTGACAGTGCCTGGTTTTCTCTAGTTTGTTTCCTTTGATTGATGTGTTTTCTCACATAACAGCGGAAATGTTGTCTGGAGCCACCTCTGAAAATGTTGTCTTCGCCATCTAGGTGTTTCCTGATAGCTAGATCTTGTTCTTTTTTATTATTTGGAAAGTAGAAGTATTCTAATATTTGGGAAGTAGTTTATTATTTGGGAAGTAGTCTAATATTTGGGAATCTAATATTTTGGAAGGAGCCCCCGGTAGCACAGTGGGTTAAACTGCTGAGCTGCTGAACTTGCTGACCAAAAGGCAATGGTTTGAATCTGGGGAGCAGGGTGAGCTCCTGCTGTTAGCCCCAGCTTCTGCCAGCCTAGCAGTTCGAAAACATCCAAATGTGAGTAGATCAATAGATACCGCTCTAGCAGGAAGGTAACGGTGCTCCATGCATTCATGCTGGCCACATGACCTTGGAGGTCTTCTATGGACAATTCCGGCTCTTTGACTTAGAAATGGAGATGAGCACCATCCCGCAGAGTCAGACATGACTACACTTAATGTTAAAGGGAAACGTTTACTTTTACCTTTATAGTTTAATAAAATAGAGAGTTCAAGCAGACTGTTCCTTATTCTTTTTTATTGAATTGATCTGCTGGATCTTTATGTCAATTGATATGAATGTGCATTGTGATACTGGTATCATGGCTGCATGTGAGCTGATTTTTAAAGGCCATTATGAGTTCCAAGATGAGCCTATATGTGTAATTTCTGAGGCCTTTAGAACATAGTGATTGGTGAAGTTAGCTTTGCTGTCTTGCATGGAGTGTCTGTGCCATTGCTTGCTATCCCCTGGGACACATTGGGTTCTAAACTCCTTTGTTTTTTCTCCAGCTCTTTGCCATTTTTGCCTTTGGAGCCTGTGGTTCCTTCAGTGCAGAAACAGGGGCTACTGTGAAATGCACTGAGGATCCTAAAGAGACGACCGCTATTACTGTGCAGTTTGGATATCCCTTCAGGTAAAGGGGAATCATGCTGAGAGCTAATTTAGGAGAAACTATGAGAAACTTGGTGTTATCACTAATAAGTCTTTATTTGTGGGGGGGGAATATAATTTTATTTCTAGCTATGTAATGTACTTTTCTTGAGAAAGTTTCCTTAACATGTCTTCAGATGAAAATATTTCAACCTCTGTGCTACTTTACTTTTGGGTGCTTATTACTCTAGGCTATTTTGGGGGCTTTTCTATAGGAACTCCAGGTGCTCCTGAAACAGCTTCCCCTATTGCTTTGGCTCAGCACTAAGATTATCATATTATGCAAATCTAATGCACACCCTAATTTTGGCAAGGTGATTTAGCCAAACAGGTGAGCATTAGATTTGAGTACATACAGTATATCTGAGCCTGAAAGAAATTGACAACACAAGCTTTCACAGACTAATACTGCATCTACACTGTAGAATTAATGCAGTTTGACACCCCCTAACTGTTATGTTTCAAAGCTATGGAATCGTGGAAGTTGTAGTTTTGCGAGGTCTTTAGCCTTCTCTGTCAAAGAGTGCTGGTTCCTCAAAAAATACAACTCCCATGTTTCCATAGCATTGAACAGTTAAAGAATGGCAGTTAAAGTGGTGTTCAACTATATTAATTCTATGGTGTAGATGCACCCTTGGTCTACAAAAGCTTATGCTACCAACTTATTTCCTCATTTGGTCTGTAAGGTGCTACAAGATCCCTTTGGGTACTGATATTCCTGATTAACACAGTGATGTCTTTGAATTCTGTATTTGACCCATTATTCAAAAGTTGGTGCTTCACCACTGCTGGTAGATATAGGAGTGACCTGTGGTTCCCTGATAGGTAGAAAAGCAATTTTTAACTAATATATACAGAATGCATGCAGTTGTGGCACACATTGGATCATTTCCTGTAAGTTTAAAAGTTTTAAAAATAGGTCATTATGCTGGGAAGATGTTTGCTACTCTGTCATGATGTTGGTGTAAGGCTATGCCAGCATCATAGACCAAATAGTCTGCCGTCAAGATAGTGAGAATTGACATATTAGTTACAATAATATATTGAGGAAATTCATTCTTATAGACATATAGGACTCAGTTGCTAACTGCATTTTAAATTTTAGTTAGTACTACACATATGTTTTGTGGTTGACATTATTTTTTTCTGAATACAGTCAACCCTTCATGTTCCCTGAGGTTAACAGCTAGAAACCACCATGAAATTGAAAAATGCAAATAGAGAAATTGAGAGAACACATCTCTAGGAATATCTAAGTCCAAGTTAATCATAGAGTTACATTGAAGGACGAAGAGATTCTTAGATAGAACATTTTAAAATCAAATCTATAAATAATCAAATCTTCAAAAGCCAGTACTGCAGATGTGGATGGACTGTAAATGCCTTTAAAAAAATCTGTTCTCAACTGTGTTAATGAAGATAAATGCTTCAAAGATTTAGAAGATATGAGAGAATGCTTGTAACACTGTGTGATGGGTTGGTATACCAATCTGCAGTTTTTTGAAATCTAAATAAATCTAAAGAAAGCTAACAAAGCTATCTTCTGAATGATGCATTTGTAGAAAGTAACATCTGTTCAAGCTTCTTCTGATTTCCTGTTGGGCAGATTTTTTTTCTGTTTCACTTGGGCACTTGGCAGCCATCCTTCCCAGGCCCTTGGACACCAGAATCTCCATCTGCCCAGATATTTTCTTTATCATCCAGGAGCCTTTCAAGGGAAGCATCTCTCTTTCCAGCTGGCCCGAGGATCCCTATTTAAAATGGATAAGAGCCTGGAACTTCATGGTTGTAGGCATCATCATCTCCAGAGCAATCTGACGAACCCACCCTTCTCAATGCCACTGCATCCTTTAAGGGTTTCCATATGCTTTTGAATTCTGTTTTGCCAGCATACTTTTTGTGGATTTTTGAACTGAGTTAAATTTCCCTCCTCCTACTTTAAAAAAAATTTAAATGCATTATATTGAGATTCAAATAATGGCCAAGATCTTGCACTAGGAGACATAGAATCATAGAGTTGGAAAAGACCTCGTAGCTATCCAGTCCACCCCCCCCCCCCCCCCCCGCCAAGAAGCAGGGGATTGGATTGTGTGTATCATGTTGTGTATGTGTATCATGTTCTTACTTTTTCATAGTTACGTCCACTTATGCTACCCACCTTGTAAGCAGTGCTGTTTCTTCATTGTTGAAAAGTGAGGGGTCTCCAGGGATGCATCCAGCTACATTCCAGTAGTGGCTTTCTGTGAGACCACAGAAGTTCCCTTTGAATGCATGTCATTGGGGATTCAGCTGCAGGAAAGTAGCTGAATGCATCCCTGCTGACACTTCTTTTCTCTCATAACACAGATATGGTCATATTGGTGATTGCACTTTTTGGAAGGATTCTTGTTGTTGCATGGACAAAATATTATCCGGTGCTCCACAGTGACCAACAAAAGTGGATCGGAAAGGCATAAGTCTGACATATGCAACTGGAATTCAAAAACAAGATGCAGGGTCATATTTGGGGTTCTTGGTGTATGCCTTCAAGTTGTTTCTGACTTTTAACAACTAAACCAATCATAGGATTTTCTTCACAAAATTTGTCTGAGTGGCACCTTTGCTTTCCTTTGAAGCTGGTAGACTGAGGAATACCCAAGGTCATGCAGTAGGTTTCTACATTTGAGCAGCAATTTGAATGATTGTACCAAGGATCAAAGCTCAATGCTCAAACTACTACACTACACCAACTCTCTTATCTGGGGTTGAGCTGTTCATTTAGAGCTGAAAGGCAAGATACAATTGATATAAATGTGGTGTTGTAAAAACTAACAACAGAACTTTCTAATGACAGTTCCAATAGATCTTGTAGTAGATGTCAGTTGGACTGATGTATCCAACAGACAGGGTAATTCCAGTACAAGTCACTGTCATACAAAATAATAGACTACAGGCTTACAGGAAGGTGCCATCAAAACTGATCCAAAGCAGTGATTAGAGCACAAAACTCATGCATTCGTTGTCACCTCCAATCCCCTCCTTACCCACTTCCAAAGGGGAAATGTAGTGCCTGGGCAGTAGTGCACCTGCTACTTCTGATTGCTGTCAGACTTGCAGGAATGTCCTTCTCTGCAAACTTAAAAGTAGCAGCTGACCTGACACATCTGTCATCTGTTGAGAGGCATTAAAACAGGTATAAAATGTTAAAAGTTCTTTTTCTTTGTGTGCTCTCTGTCTCTCTTTAAGCATTAGTGACCTGATTATGGTGGGGCTTACTGATCAATGAGTTACAGACAAATGTTTGTGGTTTGCAGCACTTACCATTGCCAAAAATGAGAGAGTAGATTAGATTGAGAGTGGTATTTCCAAGCCCTTTATAGGGTGCCAGATTAGGAAATTACCTTTACTGTGATCAAGAAACACAACAGCGAAGGCTTTCATGTTAGAGATTCACCACAAGGCTTTCTGGATGAGTAGAAGCAAGACCAAAGTTAGAATGAAATCAATCCTATGCTCAGTGTGTGAAAGATGTGCACACAGTTATATCTCCATGCATCTTTGCCTTCCTGCCAACATCTGATAGCTATAAATAGAGGCATGTCTGTGAAGTCTATTGAAATGCCTTTGACAAGAAGGAGAACAAATTGGAATCAGTGGTTATGGTTCTGGCAATGGCAGCACAGAACAAAATATCTGGTTAATTTTCATTTGAAATAATGAATTGCTTATTGATTGAGAAGTACCTGAGATGGCTGAGGTCTTTGCTTCCATCCTTTGAGCCCCTCTTGTTGCTTGGCTTCTAGATTAGGTAACAACAGGGACAGATAATGTTTGTTTCTGATTGCAGGGGAGGTAGAACTGTTCCTTCCTGGTCATGCCTTTGTTGTAGGGGACCTTATTTCATGCGATTGTTGAATTCATCTTTGATCAAGTCCTTAGATTTCTGTGTTTCTTACACCGTTACCAAAATTTTAGTTCTGAATAGAGATTATATTAAGATAACATGGAAACAGAAAAATTTTTTTATAAAAGATCTCACTAATTCTTAGGTGACTTCCGTGGAGCCAATTTTAAGACAATTGGTGCAATAGTTTCGCATAATAAGGATTTGATGTGGCACATCTATGGAGGTTGGCTTTGTAGTTCTTGGAGAAAAAATAGATGGAAATTATTTGTTTTAATGACAGTAAAGGCTTAGTTTGACATTGGAAGTCTTTCCAGGGGGCTCACACTACAGAATATCTGTCTGCAATGACAGGCCTGGTTCAAATGGCATTGGTGGGAAGAGGTTGGAGGCTATTTATATGTTGAGTACCACTGACATTATACAACCTGGTAACAGCTGAGTGGAGAGCTATGATACCTCTTCTTAGTGACATAAACTATATCCATACAGCTAGCATTTCTCCAGTTTCTATAATCTACTTGGTATCTGTGGTGTGTTTGCATATATATAGATGGTACACTTGTATTTTGTCCAAATCCAACCAAGCCATTTCCCCTCCAATATAAAAGCTACACAAGCTACAGGTGGTGGTATAGGATGCAAATACCAGATCCTACAACCATATTGGATCTAACCAAAGGTGTATCCAATTCAGCATTTTACAAATACAGTGGCCAACGAGATGTCTGTGGGAAGCTCACCAGTGAGATATGAATATGCCCTTCAAATGTCATCCTCCATAACTGATACACAGAGGTTTCCTGCATCTGATATTGGAGATAATATGTAGCCACCCTTCTCCGAATAAAGGATTACATGCTGAGTGACTGGTATCAGTGGTTACCAAGTAGCCCTCTATTCAGCCCAACTGCTACTGTCCTTGCCACAAAGGGAGAGAAGAAACTGGTGGGATCTGTTATGCTCAGAAGCAGATGAAAGGCATTTATTTATTTATTTATTTATTTATTTATTTATTTATTTAATATACTTGTACCCCACCCTTTTCATCCCTCAAACTTCCTTCCCTCTGTCCTAATTGTGGATGGCCTGGCTTTAGTGGAAGATAAAAAGGCCCCATCTATGTTGCCCTATAATGCAGTTTCAAACTGCTTTCTATCATCAGTGTCGACTCATAATGCAGATTGAACTGAATTATATGAATCTACACTGCCATATAATCCAGTTTTATGCAGTTAATCTGCATTCTGAAATGGCATTATATGGTAGTGTAGATGGGGCCAAAGCTTCATCATGCCTAGGCCCAGAATCAGATGAAAGGCCAGAGGTTTTCTGCATCTGCTACTGGAAGTGATATATAGCCATCCTCCTCTGGACAAAGAATGTTTATGCTGAGTGGCAGTAGTTACCATGTGGGCATCCATCCGTCTATCCCAATTGTCACTTTCACAGCCTCAGAGGGAGAGAAAAGAGAGAGGCAGAAACAGCTCTATCATCCAGAAGTAAATGAAAACACCTTCCTCCATCCCAACTGTTACTTCTGTGGCCTCCAATGAACTTAATCCCCTCCTACACTGCCATTGCTTCTTCCTTTTGTGTCATGTCTTAATTAGATTGCAAACCTGGGGGCAGGGAACTATTTTGTTATTAGGTTCTTGTGGGTTTTTTTCGGGCTATAGAGCCATGTTCTAGAGGCGTTTCTCCTGACGTTTCGCCTGCATCTATGGCAAGCATCCTCAGAGGTGTAAGGTCCTTACACCTCTGAGGATGCTTGCCATAGATGCAGGCAAAACGTCAGGAGAAACGCCTCTAGAACATGGCTCTATAGCCCGAAAAAACCCACAAGAACCTAGTGATTCCAGCCATGAAAGCCTTCGACAATATTTTGTTATTCTTTTACTTTTAAAGCAAGTACAGTGATGGTGCTGTATAGATGATGGTGGTGATAATGTAGCATAGGGTATGATTAAGGAACAACACCTTTCCATGCAGTTTTTATGTGTAGTTATTTTCTGCATATTGTTGATGACTATAACAGAATTTTTACATGTCTTTCTTCCCTCACTAACTTGAGAGCACTTTTTCTGACTCCTTTAGTAATTAACATTGTTCGGATTGGTTATTTCCTCTTCCATTACCCCTCTTCCTGGTGAAAAGGGCCTATATATTACATGTGTGCATACACATTTGTATGCTACAATATGAAATGGAGATTGGAAATCTCATGAGCTGGTGCCCAGTGTCCTAACAGAATCATAGAATCATAGAGTTGGAAGAGACCTTGTGGGCCATCCAGCCCAACCCCCTGCCAAGAAGCAGGAAAATCACATTTAAAGATAATCCTTAGAACAACTAAAGGAAATCATAAAATCAAGAATTAGATGTATAGCTGTACATTTGGCTATTTTACATACACCCGTGAAATACATGTGCTAAGGTATAGGTGGTAACTTACTTACTTACTTAGGTGATCCCTCGTTGTCTGAGTAAGATTGTCCCCCAGGTGTGGTGTCCTGAGGGTGGGTATGCAGGTGACTGTGGGGCCGTTGTTGTCTTGACCCGCATATTCTCCTGGAGTGAGGGCATCGGTTTCCAGGTGGAAGGTGGTCCCGGTCGGGGTTGGCTTGATGCGCCTTCTTCTTGGCACATTTCTCCCTTTCACCCTCCAAATTCTATAGCACTGCTGGTCACAGCTGACCTCCAGTTAGAGGGCTTCCTAGTTCTCAGTGTCTATGCCACAGTTTTTAAGATTGGCTTTGAGCCCATCTTTAAATCTGTTTTCCTGTCTTCCAAAAATTCTGTTTTCCATTCTTGAGTTCAGAGTAGAGCAACTGCTTTGGGAGACGGTGATCGGGCATTCGGACAACGTGGCCGGTACAGTGGAGTTGATAGCGGAGGACCACCACTTCAATGCTGGTGGTCTTTGCTTCTTCCAGCACGCTGACATTTGTCTGCCTGTCTTCCCAAGAGATTTGCAAGATTTTTTGGAGGCAACGCTGATGGAATTGTTCCAGGAGTTGCAGGTGCCACCTGTAGATAGTCCACGTTTTGCAGGCATATAGCAGGATTTGGAGGACAATAGCTTTATAAACAAGCACCTACGGATATCCAGGTCCTCAAACACTCTGTGCTTCATTTGAAAAAAGGCTGCACTTGCAGAGCTCAGGGGGTGTTGCATTTCAGTGGCAATGTTGACTTTTGTGGAGAGGTGGCTGCCAAGGAGCGGAAATGGTCAATATTTTCTATTGTTACACCGGTAGCTATTTGGTCTAATCCACAGATTTTGAAACAGGTGTCACGTTCTCTGTTTTTGCTCTTCTTAATCGCTATCTAGACAGAGACCTGTGCATTAGCAACAAAGTCTATGTTACCCACTAGCAATTGTGGTAAAAAGCTAATCAAATACTGGGTCAATATGTTTGTTTTTTTAATTCAGCTATCTGTATTGTAAAGCTGGTGAATCTCCCAGAAGAACAGAAAAGAAAAGAGACATCTCAATCTTGTAAAGATGCAAACCAATACATAAAAGCATTTGTCCCAAATATGCAGCTGTTGAAAGCAGTATCAGTGCCAAAGAGGGTGGTTCCTTCATAAGGAGCCACTGTATACTTATCATAGTAGCTGAATAGGGAACACTCAGCCTGTCACCATAGTTAGAAGTGGATATTGCTGAGGATACGCAGAGTTCCACATAGGCTCTTCTTAGGTGGGAAGAATGACATCAGTACATTCTTAATAAAAGGGCCAAAAACTTACTGTTATTGTTCAGAATTCCTCCTCCCCTAGAGAATTAGGACAGTTTGAAAGAGGGAAGCAATGCACTGCTCATATATACACACACTTTACTATCTGATAAACAGGTTTAAAGCCTGCAAAAATCTGTTTAACCAGATGCTAGAAGGACACAAAAGGGGCCTCTGTGCCTTCTTATTTTAACTATACGATTTTCTCTTTTCTTCTTGCTTTCATTTTGTCCAGGTTGTACAAAGTTCCATTTGAGATGCCGGACTGTCTTCATGGATCTACTGCTAAACGGACACTGCATCTCATGGGAGACTTTTCAGCCCCTGCAGAGTTCTTTGTGACCTTAGGTGTTTTTGCTTTCCTGTACACCATGGCAGCTCTTGCAGTCTATCTACGGTTCCACTCCCTCTACAAAGAGAATAAAAAACTACCTTTTGCGGTAAAGTCTTAGTTTAGGTTTTTGTTATTTGTATTTAAGACCTGCAACAAATAAACGGTGCCTGGGGTGGCAATCCTTTATGTACTTCGTTTGGGATTAAGCTATGCTGAAAACAATTAGAATGGCTTTAAAATGAGACTGTCCTATAAGTGCCTCAGGGATTAAAAGCAATTGTTTATCCAAATGGGAGATGTTGCCCTTGAAATTCCACATTCCTTTTTTACTTGGGCTACTTTCACACTGAGGACCAATTTACACAACCAAAGTCTGTATTGAATGGATCTGGGCTTTGCTTGGCACCCCTTTGTCGTGACATGCTGTGACTGCTGAAATGCTTGGGGCCAGATTTTTTTTATTTTGGAATACCTGTATTTGCATAATAACATAATGAGACACTTGGAGATGAGATCCAAATAAAAATATAAGATTTGTTTATGTTTCATATACACTTTATTCTTATAGCATGAAAGAGGTTTTATATACAATATTATAATAGATTGTGTATGAAACAAAGCTTGTGTACATTGAGCCATCAGAAAGGAAAGGTGTCTCTGTCTCAATTTTGGAGTATTCTGGAATCTTGAATAAGGGATGCTTAACCATTATACATTTTTCCTTTAAGACTGGGCAAAGGGTTTTGAATTGTGTGTGTGTGTGTGTGGGGGGGGGTCTCATAGTACTTGTAAATTTCGTCATCATATATTGAGTAAATCTGGAAATTCGACATGTTTTGGAATACATAACCACCATATAAAAAGCCTGAGAGGTGATATGGAAGGAGGACATTCCAGCAGCCCCCAAGCTTCCCTACTTTGGGTGGAATTGGGAAAATAGCTTTACTTGGAGTTGGTGCTATTGTGATGTTGTCTTTTTTTTTCTCCTTGCAGGATTTCTGTGTCACTGTCTCATTTACATTTTTCTGGCTAGTAGCATTTTCAGCTTGGGGCAAGGGCCTGTCAGATGTGAAAGGAGCTACGCGACCTTCTAGTCTCATTGCTGCCATGTCAGTGTGTCAACTCAAAAGTGCTGTTTGTAATGCTGGGGCTACTCCTTCTATGGGCCTGGCCAACATCTCTGTGGTAAGAATTGTCTGTGGAACAGGACTGTGTAGCTTTTGAGGGAGCAGATGGTAGGTTTTCACTTGCATTGTGTCAGATACAGTATAGCACCATTGATTTTAATAGCCACTTTGATATCTGATTTCCATACTTCCAATATTCTTCTGAAGAGTGCTTAACCAAAGCTTGGGAAAGTTTTTCTTTTGCACTACAACTCCCAGAATTCGTCTAGCTAGCATTCCTACTTTTCCAAGCTCCGATTTAAAGTAACTGCTAAATTAAAGATAGTGAATGTAGGCACTGCCATCTCTTCAAACTTTGTTTGTTTCATCAAATAGCTGCCAGCAGAATGAAATTTGAATATGCAGGTTTTCCTAAATGCATCCCTCAGAAGCCTTTTTCATCTGGTTGCCAGTGAAGAATGGTCTGCTCATTTGAATTCAGTGGAGACAATCCTACTCTTTTTTCTGTCTTCCAGTTTTCTAGAGAATTGACTGAAATATAGCAAATCTATAAGATATATTTGTTTTTCAATATTTATAGACTGTTGCTTTGAAAAAAGCCCACCCTAGGCAATGAACACCAAACAGAATTTCTAATATGATAATAAAATGTTATAGTTAAACTGTTACAATTATCTGATTGATTTTCAATATTAAAAAAGAAACAACAATAAAATATATCTTAGCCAGTAGACTCAGGACCACTCCTGCTAATAAGCTGAGTCCCCAATGTTATTCTGAAGATATAGTTGGATCCACACAGATGAAGACAGTCCTTTAGGGGAAAAACATTTAAGAATAGGCAACATGTAACTCACAGTGGGGTCAGAGTGGCATCTAGTGGGATGCTGGGGATGAAATTACTCCACTGGCTGAGCTGAGTTTCCCAACCCTGTGTTTTTACTTGGTACAGCAATTGCTGATTTAAACTGCACACAGGAACAAAGTGTAACCACTGATGTATTTAGTGTTAGTGATGATCTAACTACATATTTCAGCAGCTGGGCAACAGACAGGTACACTGGGTATTTTATGCCATATTTCTTTTAGTATGGGGCCAATGATTTTAAAGCAGTGGTTCCCAACCTTTTTTTGGCCAGGGACTACTGCCCAACATCAGTACTAAAAGGGTTACGAATCAGTTTTTTGTCAAATTTAGATTCAGTTTGGTTATTTGGGGTGCTGATTCAGATTGGATAGACCACATCAGCTCTAGTTTCTGATGCAGAACATATGCCATCCAGTAGCCACCATCTGCTCACCCACAGAAAACCATATTTAATAATCTGGAGCTGATGTGGTAGTAGTAATCTTTCATGGGTAGTCAGCTTCTCCCCTCCTGACATCCTAGTTTCATTGGCTCTATATGAGGGTTTTGTGAGACCAGTCACTCTCATTGCCATGTGGTTTTGAGGCAATGGTGTAGTAATGGGGGATGCCTGGCTCGAGAGCAGTACGTGTGAAAAAGATCTTGGAGTCCTCGTGGACAACAAGTTAAACATGAGCCAACAATGTGATGTGGCGGCAAAAAAAGCCAATGGGATTTTGGCCTGCATCAATAGGAGCATAGTGTCTAGATCTAGGGAAGTCATGCTACCCCTCTATTCGGCTTTGGTTAGACCACACCTGGAATATTGTGTCCAATTCTGGGCACCACAATTCAAGAGAGATATTGACAAGCTGGAATGTGTCCAGAGGAGGGCGACTAAAATGATCAAGGGTCTGGAGAACAAGCCCTATGAGGAGAGGTCTTAAGGAGCTGGGCATGTTTAGCCTGAAGAAGAGAAGGATGAGAGGAGATATGATAGCCATGTATAAATAAATATGTGAAGAAGCCACAGGGAAGAGGGAGCAAGCTTGTTTACTGCTTCCATGGAGATTAGGACACGAAACAATGGCTTCAAACTACAAGAAAGGAGATTCCATCTGAACATTAGGAAGAACTTCCTGACTGTGAGAGCCGTTCAGCAGTGGAACTCTCTGCCCCGGAGTGTGGTGGAGGCTCCTTCTTTGGAAGCTTTTAAGCAGAGGCTGGATGGCCATCTGTCAGGGGTGATTTGAATGCAATAGTCCTGCTTCTTGGCAGGGGGTTGGACTGGATGGCCCATGAGGTCTCTTCCAACTCTTTGATTCTATGATTCTAATGTTGAGGATGCAGGCCATATTTTCATTCTTGCAGACCACTGGTGGTCCACGGGCCACAGGTAGGGAACCAATGGTTTAAAGAGAATACAATGGCCAGCCACTCCAACTCCTGCCATGCAGGATGTCTATTAACATATCAATAATTTATTTTTTAAACCTTTGAATGTTAATAATTGTTTTAACTGTTGTTTAATTATGATTGTTTAATTTGATGTTTGGCATCTAATGGTTGCCTATTATAAAGCATTATAAATTGTTAAGACCTATGCATAAGTATTTTTGCAATAACTGTGCACATCTTTCTTTCTTCCTTAGCTGTTTGGTTTTGTCAACTTTATACTGTGGGCTGGAAACTGCTGGTTTGTTTTTAAAGAAACCCCTTGGCACGCACAGACCACCAACAAGGAAAGTTCTGCTGAACAAGGTGCTGTTGATAAGCAATAAGGAACCTTCCCCCTCAATCCTGAAGCCTCCTGTTTCCCTACCAAGAACAAACCAACAGTGCCTTGTGTCTCCTACACGCTCATCTCATTTCACAGCAGGGCAGGAAATAATTCCTCTTCTGCCAACTTCACTGCTCTCCAATAGTCATATTGGCTCCCCACTGTGACTATTACAGGAGGCCTCCCTCCATCTGAAATCAAAGGTCCTGGTGTGGTCCTAGACTGTTCACTGTTTCAACAACACTTTTCTTCATTTTGATTATATAATTATAAATGTATGGGACTGTACATAGAGATTTTGGCCACCAGTCCAAGGGTATGTGATGTTGTTTCCTTCATAGCTGCTTTTTAACCAATTTATGAAGGGTTGGGGGGGGGGGGGGGGAGAAATCAGGTAGCCAGATAAGAACACTAGGAAGAACTATGATATTTGTGCCATAGAAAATGACATTCTGGGTATCTTTGAGATGAAGTACATGTTGTACATTGCCACCCTAATAAAAGCAGAAACACAAACATGCCAGCTGGTTTTAGCAGCAAAAGGGGAAAAACAGGATTTGTACTTTTGTTACAAAGAAGGAAAGTATGTTGCCTTTTTTCATGTTTCATTATATTCAGAATGGGCTAAACATTTCAACTTCACTTCCATTCAATTGGACTAAAATCTTAAGACACTGTTTACCTGCAGGTGGCTAGCTCACTGTTTCACAGCAAATATCTGGTGTTTCTTTTCTTTTGTATTTGGTTATACATGGATGTATATTGTGTCCACATTGAACCAGAAGTGCTCCCACCAGTGTGCAATGCCTATCAGCTGCTGGTCTCTGTGTTTGATGCAAATAGCAAAAAAGTAATGTCAGGCGAATATTTTTATCACTCTCTAGGCGAAAACCTTGTTTTCCTGAGTTTGTGTTTTCTTTTAAATACAGCTATTCAACTTCCTTGTGTACAAAAAAATCAAAGAAATTTTGTTTAGCTTCTAAAATGACTGATTATAAAACTTGGGCCCAAGAAGCTTAGGGCATTCATTTCATGACTGAAAAGTATGCAGAGATAATGTGTAATTCTACACATATAACACTACAGAGAATCTCAGTGGTTTGTGATTTTAATACTGGCTATTAGTATTAGAATTAATAACACCTGTGGATCTCTAAATGTTGTGGTTTGGACAGTTTGTCCTGGACTCACATGTGCTTCTCCACATACCCTTTAACTCCATTGTGGAAAGAGATAGCTGGCAGTAGATTTTTTTAAAAAATCATTTGATGGAGATCTGAGGCATCTCAAGACTCACAAATGAACACAGGAGTTTTAAAGGAAGTTGCCAGGCTACTTGGATATCCCTCAGTCAGAAGACATGGTCACCAGAACAGAAATTTAGGACAGTATCTATCTTATCTCCCTGCATCTTTTAAATTGTAGTTAACTTACTGTCTTACTGTGACAGTCTTCCTTTTCGTGATCCTGCCATTGTTGCATGCAGGAGACTAGAACCTGACACTCAGTTTGCTTTGAACAATGATTTGTGCCCATTTTCACAAATGTGTGTGAATAAATAGAGAAGAAGGTCCCAAAGTCCTTACACTCCAGTGCCTCCTATGTGTTTAATCTCCGATGGGGAAAATAATTTTTGAGTGGAGGAATACATCAAGAAGGTGAGTCTGAGGTCTTTCTCTACTGAATTAAACCTTTCACCCGAGACCTTGTTTGGACATGCTCTCTCTCTCTCATATTTCCTTTTCTCTTTTTCTCCTTTCCATGCTGGGAGAGAGGAATTCTCTCTTGTAATAGGAGAAGTATTCTTGGTGCTTTATTAGATGTGGGACCTCAATGGTGAGCAAGGCTACCTTTGTACATTTTGTAAACTTCCTTCTTCTTTTGATTATTGATTCTACATCATAAAATGTACCCTTTAGGGAATGCTGTCTGCCTCTATTTGCTGTGGAACTACAAAGGCTCTCTACTCGGTATTATTAGAATGAAGTTTCATAGTATTGTTTTAAAAAGAAAGAAAACCCTTTCTGGTCAAAAACAATACCACAATATATGGTGGAGGCCTAGTGATGTATCTTTGTCCAGAGTACTGTTTCCTTGTTTGCCCATTATAGGACATCACCCCAACAATCTTTCTCTGAAACAGTCGGTAGTACATTAGGGAAATTAGAGGAAGGGGGTCAGTCTTCCATGTCTTCCCTAGTTGGATACATTAACCTTTTATCTCACATACACATCTGAGTCCTTCTTCTGTATATATATATTAATTCTTAAAAGATTTGTGCAAGATCTCCAGCAAGGATAAGTTAATGTCACAATAATGAGTGCTGCTATTTCACATGAGCTGAGTATTTGACCTTTACACATAAGCCATAGAGAAAGACTGAATACTACTTCAAACATTGGAAATGCACTGTGCAAATGGCTGCTAGAAGTAGGAATAAATGATAAGGAAGGGAAGCATCCAAATTGGTAGTGATGGTTACCAAAACAGGAAATTCTAATTATGTATAATTATCATGCTACAGGTTCTACAAATAATTTCCCACAAGTTCCTGTGAGTTACTTCGTGCCTTTATATTTATTTGAAATAAGGGTAATACATAGTATGGAATAGCAGCATTAAATTTGTTATATTCTTTGTGCCCAACATAAGAGAAAGAGCAGCTGAACAGGCAGCAGCTGCAGGATGTTTCACATCCTTGTGGGTTTTCTACATTTTGGGATATACCCATTGCACCAAAACCACAGTTGTACTGAATCACTACCTTCTTAGTGTCAAGCTGCATATTGAGGCATGACACAAACCTCCTCTTTGGTGGAGACCAGAAGACAAACATCTAACGGATGTTTTCCAACAAACCAGCAAAATTTATCATAGAGAGGCAAAGGGTCAACCTTGATTTGTACTAGCATTACAGTTTGTGGCCTAAAATGTTTTTTTCTTCTAAATGGAAAAAGATAGGGTCCAGGTCTGGCATTTATACAAATGCTCAAGGTGGGAAATATTATGATTAAGGATGCATAAAGAGGCTAAATTATCAGAAAGTCCACTTGCTCTGTAATGTCCTTAAAAGATCACAATTTCTACAGAATTTGGCAGTGAAACTAGAACTTATACTGAATGCTCCTCAGCCTGGTCCCCTCATGAAGAAGAAGGCAGTATAATGTATGTCTTCCTCACTCCTGCTGATCGTCAGTGTGACTTTAACAAAATATCTTGAGACTGCACTCTAAGGGATTGCTGGCTTTGGGCAGGTTTTCTTTATGTTTGCACACAGTTTCCATCTTGACCTCATGTTCACCAAATACAGCTATTGTTTCAAGGATTACACTGTCAAGGGGGTCTATCCTTAACATAGCACCAGGGGACAAGATATACATTTGAATCTTGTACTGACACGTGTTTACCTTTGATATTTTGATTAGAATAATTTCTGCCTTCAGGCTGCGTAAAAACAGCTAATTTTTCCAAAAACCTGAAAGTGATACTATAAATCTTCCATTTCTGAGATAAAAACATTCACATTTTTGTCTTTTCATGATTTCTGGACAAACTAGTAGGTTTTTTTTTATTTAAAATGTTCTTAGAAACAGAAAGGATGACTGCTTTGTCTATAATGGGCAGACATTTGAGGTCTTCTAGATTTCTGAGCCCTGAACATTAGCCCCACCTGCTGCAATTACTGAAGAGATACAGTTAGGCTTCTGTGTCCACACCTTGAAAATGTTAAAGAAATTAAAAAAATTCCAAAAGGCAAACCACTTTACCACACAATTGTGTATATTGTGATTTGAGCATCCACAGATTTTTTTTTTTACCCACTGTAATTCCTGGAACAAAGCTCCAGCATATTCCATAGAACCACTGTTCATGTATTTTGATTTTGATGGGCAGGGGTTCTTCTTGAGTAATGCCAGTCATAATGAGCATAGAGTTGGGTCATGTAGGCCACCTAGCCTATCTTCATTCTGCATGAAATCTAGACAGTGTCAGCAATATAATGCTGTCCAGCCTCTTTGACCTCCCTGGTCTTTGAGAAGGAGAGGTTTCCATGCCAGTTAGTTGTTTCCATTGGTGAGTGCTCTTAGTGTTGAGAGGTTTTCCAGGTATTCAAGATTGAAAAAGTGTACCTTAGCCGGTTAGGTATACCTGCCCTCCGGGACAGTAGAGAGCAATCTTCTGTCTTGTAGGCACTAGATCTTAAGTATTTTAAGATATACGTCTTCTTCTGCACATCCTCTTCTAAAGGCTAAAAATACCCCCACCCATCTTTGGAGTACTTATGGAACTTCAAGAAAAGGTTTGTAGACTTCTTATTGTGTGAGACAAACACTGTATCAACTTCAGGAAGGATAAAAGTGTGGATAATGTCATTATATAGTTTAGTCATTTGATGGCATTGGCCTTAATTGTATTTGTGTAGAGTCAATAGTTGTGATATGCCCTGTTTTTGTTTTTAAAAGGATATACAGTAACTTTTGTTTGGTGTGCTCTCTCAGCCTTCCATAAAAGATAGTAATGCTGGACTAGTACAAGTACTGTAGTAATGGTGAACAGGAATGTCTCTTATTGCTACTGATAAATAATTGTACATGGCCTCTAGCTTACTGTTTCCTTTCTCTTTTTGATACTGGTAATTTTATTAGAGTGATCGCAGCATGACCATGAATTCTGTACAGAAATCACTTACACTTCAAACAATGATTGTGTGGCTAAAGGATCCATTGCATTTAGCTTCATGATACAAAAAGATCATTTTTCACCTGCAAAAAGATTTTCCCCTGATTTCTATTATGTTTCAACCATTTGTCATTACTGAATACTGGAATCTTCAGGGTATATTGTAAGAGATATTATAAACAAATCAAGAGAATCTCTTTGTGTTTTGAATTTTTCATGGATGTGATAGAGATACCCAGTTTCACATCTATGTCAATATATGACTTATATGAGGGATAGCTGATTAGACTAAACATACATATGTTTAGGTCATTATTTTATAAACAACAACAATAATAATCTTTATTAGATGTCACAAGATTAGATGTCACAAAATCACCGGGCCCCGATGGATTCTCGGCAGCCTATTATAAAACATATGAGGAAGAATTAACCCCCAAACTAAAGGAACTGATAAATCAGGCACTCCAAACCGAAAAAATCCCAAATACCTGGAAGCAAGCAATAATAACAATGATCCACAAAGAAAACGCTGACGATACAGACGTGAGAAATTTTCGCCCCATCTCGTTATTAAACGTCGACTATAAAATATACGCGGCTGTCTTGGCAGAACGTTTAAAACAGTTCCTAAATACTTGGATTCAGGAGGAACAAGCAGGATTTTTGCCCCAGCGACAAATTAGAGATAATGTAAGAAACATCATTAATGTGATAGAATATTATGAAAAAAATATCGATAAAGAATGCGCCCTCCTGACAATTGACGCTGAGAAAGCTTTCGACAGGGTCAACTGGGACTTCTTCCTAACATTAATGAAAGAATTGGACATGGGCTTCTTCTTTATCAACGCTGTAAAAGCGATTTATAGTGAACAGGAAGCCAATATATTAGTCAACGGACAAACAGACGAAAAAATCAATATACAAAAAGGCACGCACCAAGGATGCCCATTGTCCCCGCTATTATTCATAATGTCGCTAGAAATTCTTCTCAATAATATAAGAAATGATAAAGAGCTCAGAGGAATTAAAATCAGGAAATATACCTTTAAACTGCGGGCGTATGCAGACGATATTATTTGTATAGTAGAAGACCCAGTGGAAACGATACAAAAATGGATTAGAAGAATAGAAGAATTTGGAACTTTGGCTGGATTCAACTTAAATAAAAATAAAACCAAGATACTTCCAAAAAACATTACCAAAGAGAGGCAAAAGAAACTAGAAGAAAACTGTGGCATCCAGGTGGTGAAACAAATCAAATACCTAGGCATAACTCTAACTGCAAAGAATATGGACCTTATGAGAAATAACTATGAAAAAAAATGGATAGACATTAAAAAAGAGATGACCAGCTGGAAAAATCTAAAACTATCTTTACTAGGAAGAATATCTGCCATAAAGATGATGGTCCTGCCCAAATTACTTTTCCTTTTTCAAACAATACCAATCATAAGAAGCCACCAGATAATCAAGAAATGGAATATAGACATTAAAAAATTTATATGGGCAGGTAAAAAACCCAGAATAAAGTACGAACATCTAATTGGCAAGAAAGAAAAAGGAGGACTAGGGTTGCCAGATTTACAATTGTATCATGATACCTGCGGGCTTATATGGGCAAAAGAATGGGCAAAAATTTGTAAAAATAAAGACTTAGCTCTCGAAGGCCACGATCTACGCAGCGGATGGCATGCTTATTTGTGGTATGCCAAAAGAAAAATAGAAAAGAACTTTGGCAATCATTTTATTAGATCCTCCTTAATTAAGATCTGGGAAAAATATAAATTGAAATTCTATTCAAAAACCCCACTTTGGGTATCCCCGCTCGAAGCGCAACAAAGAAGAGAACTGGGATGGGAGAAGTGGCCCTGCTACAAAGATGTCCTCAAGAAAATCAATGGAGAATATGAACTGAAGACACTCGAAGAAATCAAACAAACCTATGGTGAGATCAATTGGTTCCAACATAGACAATTAGCTGAAACCTACAACAAAGACAAAAAAACAGGTTTCGAACCAAGAGGAAAACATTGGGACAACATAATGTCTACAGATAGAAAAAACATCACAAAACTCTACAAAATACTGTTGGAATGGAAGACCGAAAAACATCAAAACAAGAACTGCCTCAGAAAATGGCCAAGGAATATAGGACACACGATTGGACAAAAGGACTGGGAGGAGATTTGGAACAACAAACTAAAGTGGATAAATTCATATGATCTACGAGAGAATTGGATAAAAATGATGTACCGCTGGTACATAACTCCCAGTAAATTAGCGAAATGGTACAAAAATACATCAGGACTCTGCTGGAAGTGCCAGGAAAGAAAAGGAACTTTTTTCCACTGCTGGTGGGGATGTGACAGAATAAAAAAGTTCTGGAAACAAATACACATTATAACAGACGAAATCCTAGAAATCAAAAAAGAGATGAAGGCAGAATATTTTCTTCTAGGAATAAATGACTTACAATTGGACAAGAACAAAGACAAGCTATTTTTCCACATGATGACTGCAGCAAGAATTGTGATAGCGAAAAAGTGGAAACAAAAAGAAACCCCTACGATCGATGAATGGACATTTAAAGTGCTAGATATAATGAATATGGACTGTCTATCAGAATACCTGAAAAACAAACAACCAAAGACGATCAGTAGAGTGGATTGGTCCCCAATCAGAAAATTCTTTAATATCAACTAACTACTAAAAGAGGATGCTCGTGAGGAATCCAAACTACCTAACATTTACCAAAAGCACCGGGCTACAATCATTAGACAAATAAAACTAATCTCTCTTCCCCCCGACTCCCCACCTGCTCCGTGCACCCTCCCCAAACCCCACGCACCCCTCCATACCTCCCTTCCCCCCCTCTCCCCCCCTTCACACTCCAAATCCCTGGTACACTCCCCACTGATTTCTTTTATCCAACGATACGTCAATGATTGACACTCTCTTGATGTATTACCCCTGTAAAAACCTTCAATAAAAATTATTATTAAAAAAATAAAATAATAATCTTTATTTATACTCCGTCACCATCTCCCCAATGGGGACTCAGGGCGGCTTACATGAGGTCAAGCCCAACAACATAATAGAATAAATAAAATCAAAACGCAAACAATAACATAATAAATTACATTATATATATATATATATATATATATATATATATATCATTTATAACATAGTAACAGTGAGCGAGGCGCATGTACAGAATAAGATACTAAAGCTAAAAACGCAGGGTGGGATGGGGTGGAGCAGATTTATTTGTGTAGGAGAAACTCTTCAGGAATGAGGTCGAAAGAAGTTTTTGTACAGGCAAGGACAAATGTTGAGGGGTCATGGCAATATCAGGTTGTATGTTTAATCACCAAAGGCACAACAGAAGAGCCAGGTTTTAAGATTCTTCTTAAAACTTTCTAGGGTGGGGGCTCTCCTAATCTCCCCAGGGGGCCATTGAGGAAAAAGCTCTCTCCCTTATTCCCACCAGGCGGGACTGGGATAACGGCAGGGGTGAAAGGAGAGCTTCCCCCAAAGATCGAAGGGATCGGGTAGGTACATGGAGGGAGATATGGTCACGAAGGTAGGCGGGTCCCAAACCATTTAGGGCTTTATAGGTGATGACCTGTACCTTGAATTGGGACCGGAAAATAAACAGCAGCCAATGGAGCTCCTTAAACAGGGGGGTTGTGCGCTCCCTGTAATTTGCCCCCATTATTAATCTGGCCGCCGAGCATTGGACAAGTTGTAGTTTCCTGGCCGTCTTAGTATATAGAGCCTGGAGGCTATTTTTGCTTGTTTTTTAGGATCTTAACTTACAATTTGCCCTGTTGCCTTGATTGCCAGAATTATTGATGTTAGTAATCACTCATGTTAGTCATTTGTCACAGATAACACAAGAACCTGAACTTTTGGAAGACTTCTGCTTAGCATAACGTGGTGTAATGAATAAAAGAAAAGGAAACAATGTGCCTAGAGTATAGCTGCCACATGTAGAAGCAAACAGGACAAATTAACAGGTTTTTCAGTGCCATCTTAAACATTGTAAACTATTAAAGAGTTGATAGTATTTAGTGGCATAATAGTTCTTGCTTCAAGAATCAAAGGGAGAAGATGCTTTTCTCCAACATAGTATTCTTGCTCAAGGAGTGAATATGTTCTTGCTGTATCAGAATACTGGGATTCTATTGCCAACTTAAACTCGGTAATGCAGGGATGGGAAACTTATGGCCCTCCAGATATCATTGGGCTATAATTCCTAGCGGCTAGCTTCACTAATTGTGAGGAATGCTATGAGTTTAACTCCAAAAAATCTGGAAGGCCACACGATTCCCATACCTGAATTACTGCATGCAATAATAACCCTATAACAGTGGAACCCATTCACTTACTTCAGTTTAAATCACAAATTCCTAGAAAGAATACCTCTTTAAGAATTTCTAGGTCCTCTAGATCACTGCTTCTTGAACTGTGGGTCCCAATCCCAAATGGGATCAATATTGAGGTCCCCAAAATTTGGCAACAGTGGAAGTTTTCTGAACATCACAGAGTGGGCTGTTTTAGACATTTACACAAATCTGTTCAGTGTTTGAAATGGACTTTGCAGATGATGCTTCAGTTGTACTTCATAAAAAGGAAAACCAGCCTGTTTAGCAAGCCTTACAACTGCTGATTTATTATCAGTAAATGTCTGAATGTTATACCTATTTTATATACCTAGGGTCTCTTAAAAATTTCTCAGGCCGAATTAGGTCACAAATGAAAAAGTTTAAGAAGCCCTGCTCTAGGAAACCCTATGGTATGTTGGGATCAGAAATCAGGTAATTTAGTGGTGTTCGGTTGTATCTGTGGTTTCAGAATATTGTGGTCTCGCTAGGAATATATCTGCCACAAATACAGGGGTCTTACTGTATAAATATTTGAATCATGGAGATGAACCTCCATCACTTCACAGTTGATTCTAGAGTATTATTAATTGTGAAAAGCACTCTGTGTTTGTATTGATTTCTTTTCCATTCTAGTTTGTAGTGGTTTTGCAACAATTTCATATCACTGTTCTACAAGAGATGGAAGGAAGAAAAGTAAGAAGGGAGTCAAATAAACAAAAGAAAAACTATTATGGTATTTTTTTATTGTATGTGAGGGCATTAAGGTGTTCTCATTTTCCAAAGAAAGTTATGGTTA